CCAAATCACTAAACAGATATTTCAGCTAGGTAGGCTGTGGACTTGTGAATTGTTCAAGAATATCTGGATTGCCTATTGTTGGAAACCAGACACTCTGATTCAGCAAAGATGTTATAGATTTATTTGGTGATCATAAAGACAGCCAGGATTGGACAATCACAATAGACTACTTTACATTACTACTACAACAACAACAACAGATTCTGAAATATGACAGATTCTAAGATAGGATGCCACAGAACTGTCACATTCAAGATGAGATCCCATTAAAATAAATGTTCTGTCCTTGATAGATTGCTACAACTTCTACAGGAGCTTGAGTAGACTTACAAACTGAATGCACTCCATTCATCAGTAGGAACTATTTTGTGGGAAACCCAGTCAAACCAATTGCAGATAGTTGCCAAGGAGCAACCGAAGCATATTAATTCCCCAGGGACTTGTAGCAGGCACCACAGCACAGCAGACATTTTATGGCTCACATCTTTAGTGAATACAGGGAGAATAAAATTCTGAAATGCTTGCATTCATTTGTTTCTAAGAAGCAATGGATAGACAAATATAGTCCTCTAGATATCACTAACCTACTATAATGTTAATCACAGTAAAGAGACTTCTAGATTAGATAAACCACTGGCCTGATCTTTTGGAGATGAAGGGAAAAGCTTCTGTGCACCAGGCCAGATTATATTTTGCCTAGCTAGTGGATTTTGTCTTTGCTGACTAGAAACAGCCCTACAACAAAGAGTTTGTTTTTTATTAACTACTTTCTAATCCTTTTAATTGGACTTTCTTCACTACATTGCACTGAGCAACCCGTCTCCACCTCATGCTTAGAAAAGTATATCCTTGTATTTTTTGCTATATTTTTCTTTAAAAATATGTGCCTCTGGCTTTGAAAAAAAATCAAAATTTCAAACATTAGTAAACACTAATATACAGAACAAAAACAATGTTTTGTAATGATCACACCTTAAACAAAATATGCTCTGTGGAAATGATCCCAGTACTCTTATGATAATAGAGATTCTAATGTACTATATGCCTACTAAGAAGATCTGCAGAGTTTAATAGCACTTACTCCCATGTATATTTACTTAGGATTACAGCCAAGGTGGACAGCAATTACTGTAGGCTTGATATTGATATTCAAAATAAAGTAAAAAGCACACCAGTTATGTGTGCACCTCTCTCACACATGAACAACTGCAGGTTCCATGGTCTCTGGGAATGGCAGTCAAAAATAGCTCACCCTCCTAAATAAGCAGGAAGTTTTAGAAACCAGATAACCAATGAGCCAAGATGACTAAAGGCCAATGACAGCACAAAGATTTTATTCATCTTTCCACAAAAAAGCTATTCTAGTTCCTCATATCATCTGCTGAAATGCAGTACAAATATCTACAGTACCATATGACTTTCTGGCAACTCAAGATCAGGTCACTGAAATTCAACAGCAAAATACCTCATTTAGGGCAGTAGCCTGGTTTTCGCTGGGTGAAAAAGTTGAGCCTCGGTGGTTCTTTGGTTGAAAATGGAAACACATAGCCTTTTTGAAGCAATATGTTTCCATTCCCACTCTTAAACCCTCCCCAAGGTAAAAAATCAGGCTGAATATCTTCAGCCCACCTCTTCCAGTAATGCATCAGGTAGCCATTTTTACCAGCTGGTAGGCAGAAAAGCTATGGTTTCTCCCCTGGTTCAAAAAAAAAAAGATGCCCAGTTCGGACCTGCATCATTTAAACTCGATATATTGTACACCCTGCCTCAGGGGTAGGCAACCTCGGCTCTTTTATGACCCGTGGACTTCAACTCCCAGAATTCCTGAGTCAGTTATGCTGACTCAGGAATTCTGGGAGTTGAAGTCCACGAGTCATAAAAGAGCCGAGGTTGCCTACCCCTGCCCTACCTTCTTTACATTGTGAAATATGGAATACAAATGGAGAAATGCCACACAGTGCAAGAATAGTCAAACAGTTCCATGCCAAGTTTTTTAAAAAAATTACTATACTCCCATTCTCCAACAAGAATGAATTCCCCACCTCTGCTAAGATAGCAAACACATGGTATGGCAAGTATGTGAAGATTTACACATACACACACTCTCTGTGTCACTGACACCCCCACAAACACATTCTGTATTCATAACTGTCATTTCCCAGGATCGCATCATTACAAAACACAATGATTCATTAGAAAAAGTTAGCCAAAATTTGTGAAATGTGTAAAATATTATGCAGCTAAGGCATTACAAAACTGAAGCGTCATCACTGGTGTGTGCAGTAACCAAATATGGACTGCAATTACAGAATTAAGAAAAATGAATTTGTGCAGTTATCATTAAATAGAGGAAAGGGAAATTTGCAGAGTATTCTTTATTAAGGTTCCAGTTCTATCTTCCTCCTCCCACTACTGTTTCATTTCCTTTTTAAAACAGAGGAAAATGAAACCTATTCCTCATTCAATACAGTCAGAAAGTTAACTTTGCACATTCTTCTATGTTTCAGTCCAAAGCAATTCCAAAAATGTAGGCCTGAAGAAAGGAAGTAAAAGAAAACCTAATTAGTTTTCCAGTTATTTTATTTTTTATTTACTCATCATCAGTCTTCTACCTCTTCAAAACTCTGTTACCTAGAATAGAAATAATATCCTAGTCTTTATACAAACATTCTAATTCATACAGAAACAATTGTTCCAAATTACAACCCTTCTTAAACCCACTGTCTGGTTATTTAAGGTGCTTAGAAAAAGAAAAGAGAAAAAGAGATAAACCTTTAATCAAGAGGAGTTCAACATGAAAATATAAACATGAGACTGTTGAGCAGGGCTACCGACAGAGATTATGGAGTGTAAAAAAGACAGAGGGTGGAACAGAATGGAACAAATATTGTTTGGGTGTGGACAGGGAGTATCTGCAAGTAATGAGTCACCCACAACAGGAAAAGTAGGATTATTTTAAAATGGCTGGCCTGGGATGTAAGGAATGTTTGTAAGTAAAAAAAAAAAATTGACAGGGTGGGAAATACCAAAGAGTTGGCAGAGAACCAAGAAAGCAACAACAGTGTCCTGAGGGAGGCCAGCTAGCTGTGGGTCAACTGAGGATTTGGGGGCTAAAGCAAATTCCAGAGTTTGGCAGGCAACAATTAAATTGTAAGGAGGACACCCCTTCTCTGAAGATAGATTATCACAATAGCAGTGAGAATAAAAGAATAAAATAAGTCCCAAGGCAATGGAAAAGCTACATTGAATGTAGCTGAACTGTCCATCAGGAATGCAGCTCTTTCTGCATTCCATAAATCTGAATTCATCAAGAACTTTAGTTATTAGATGACCTTCCAACTTTCCAACTTTGCAACGCTATGATTAACAAACAAGAAATAAAGACTGCAAAAGAGGCACCAAGAAAACAAAATATATAAAATACAGTACTTTCAACAGAATGTAAGAGCTACTTTGCAAGAATAGACCAAAGTTTCATCAAATCCATAATCCTGTTTTCCACAGTGGCTATGTTTGTCACACACAGCCTTGATTAACTGAACTATTAAAAGGTTAAATTCTATTTCCTGAATTCCCATAACATACACGGCAGAGTTCACACATTTAAATGTCATATGTACTCTGAATGCAGCCAGTAGTTTGATAAAATGTTCTCATTAATCCTAAAGACCCTCTCTCATAGTTGCATCCAAAAATTGACATTCAAGAGATGGACTACCTTTAAGAGTTTATCTTTTGAACTCCTTGATAAGAATAAACATGCTTATTCTGCATTAATATGTCTAATTTTCTAGTAAAAATATGTACATTAGAAGCTGTTGCATACAGATTGTGATAGCAAATTATAAAAACCATTGTAAATGTGTTAAGAAAGGAAGTTTTTATTAAGGTAATCAATCAAAAGGAAAACCTAAAGCCTGAGAAAGGAAAGCAGAAAAAAAAAACCCAGCACATTTTCAGAACGCATACTGTACTAGCATGAAGAAAATTGGCAGCAATATAACTCGAGGACAACTCCAAATATATCTGGTTTAGAAGACAGTTGAGAACTTAGGTTATGAGGAGGTCAACCCAGGACGAGTGCCTGGGACAAAAAAGTCTGGGAGGATGAGAAAAGATGGTGTAGAGTAGACAGATGAAGCCAAAATATTGAAGGTGAAGTTTTATAATTTTCTCGTCAGAAAGAAAAAGAACTAGAAGGGAGGGAACAAGGGTGCTAGCACCCCTCAATTTTTTCTATCACAATGCAATCAGATCTCCCCCATTTCCTATGCCTTACATAATAGCCCCACAATGCACCCAACCAAAGGGTCCTTGCACAATACTCTGTAATAAATGTTACTAAATTTCCCCAGCACAAAAATACCTTTTTTCATTTTCTGTTTCGCAGGAATTCAAAGGTAATTCTCACTAGCTCGGCTCCCTCCATATAACCTTAAATGAAAACCTGCTGAAGTGACGCCAAACAGCTGCCTGTCAATCCTCCTCCCCAGCTCAGTTTTATAATGTACTTCACTACAATGACAGCACATTATTTCGCTCTCCCTCCACAGAACACTCTTGTTCTTGCCATGAGGCTATCTTATAGCCGATTTCACTTCAGCCTCCAGTTCTCTCATACAAAAAAAAACAACCCTTGAGATTCCCACTCCTTTACCTTTCCCAAACTTTTATCCCCCCTCTATTTCTAAGAACTCCCAGCAGACGTGCCATCCATGACACCGAATAACTGTACCCGGATTTTCCTTTGCATCCCCCACCCCCCAGGTTAATTTTCTCCTCCAAATTCCTTTTTTTCTACTTTGCTAAAATTATTCCCGCAGGGCTCCTCGCCTCTCAAAAAGGTACTTCTCGTTTCCTACCGTGCCCATAAAAGTCACCCTCCTGGGACTCCCTGGTCCTTCGGAAGACACCCCCCCCCCATTCCCGTGACACCCCGATTTCCTTCATTTCCTTCCCCACCGGGGCGCCCAAGGACGACTCTCTCCAGGCACACTCACATAAACGGGCAGGGGCCAGGGGTAGACGGCCGGCTCCGCTCCCACTGGCGACTTCAGCCTGAGCTCCAACCTCTCGCCCATGCTGGCGGCGGAAGAGAGCGAGCAGAGCAGAGTCTCAGTGAGAGGATAGGTCAGCTCGGGGCGGCCAAAGGGAGCAAGTGGCGGCGGACCCGCACCATGCTAGACCGGCGGGCGGCGGAGAGGGAACCGGCGGCGGCGGCGGCGGCGGCTGAGGAGGACCAGCCCGCGAGCGAGTGGCCGCTCCTTCCCTTCACGCGCTCTCTCTTCTCTATTGTCGCTCGCGCCGGCCCGGGCTTTTCGTCAGCAATAGCAGCAGCAGCAGCAGCGCCGCCGCCATTTTGGGCCGCCCCCGCCGGCGTCAAAGGCAGGGGCCGCCCAGTGGAGGTGGTGGTAATGATGAGGGCGGATGACGGTAACAGCGAGAAGGGAGAGAGGGAGGGCAATTAAAAAAAAAAAAAACTCCGCGCGGGCGGAGAACGTCAACCCAAAATGTATCAATACAGCTTTTATTGCTCGTCTTCTGTCCTTCACTCCACCGCTGTTCAGGAAAATTATAGCTTCACGTAAGAGAAGCAGGGGGAAGGCAGCGTTGCGCGCGACGAGGGGCGGAGGGGAGGGAAAAATAACAGATTGGCGCGCACGCGCTCGGGCTCCTTAAGGGTACGCACGCACGCACGCCAGCCCCAGATGTAAGTGAATTTATTCGAAAGAGAAGCCTAGGAGGTGAAGGGGGCGAGAGAGAGAGAGAGAGAGGAGGGACGCGCGCGCAGAACTAAGACGAAGAGGCGCGCGGCCTCCAACATAAAAGGAAGAACGGCCGCCTTCGTTACAGCTCGTTTACTGTACCCCCTCCCCCCNCCATTTCGTCTTCCCCCCCCCACACTCTGTCTCGGTGCGCGAACGCCTCCTCCTCCTCACGAAGCTCTCTTTTCCCCCCCCCCCCAACGCACGAGGCGCACGAAGAAAATGGTAATGGTCACGCCGAAATCTCAATGAGCCCCATAATCGTTACAAGTCGTGTTTTCAAAAACACACCCACACACACACCACACACACACACACACAAACAAAGCGATTCCTCGGGCAAGCCTACTCGCGCGGGAACTCACGACGCGCACGTCAGATTTTCCTCAGGTATGTATTTGATTTATAAATAGTAGACACACGCAATGCAGACTACGTTCACACGTAGAAACAGGGGAGGTGGGGGTGGGGGGGGGGAGACATGGAAAAGATGACGAGGCAAGCCTGGAAAGATTTGACTCCCTGCCTTAAAATTAAGCACAATCTACCTCTGAATGAAAGCGGCTGCTTTTCCAGATGGAGAGGTTTCGTGTTTTGGGCTTCTTTTGGCTGGGTCTTGTCTCAAAATTGCCCTGTTGCCGTGAGGCTTCCCCCCGCGCCGCCACAGAGGTAAATAATACACCATAATTAATGCTGTCGCAATTCGGTGTTTATTCTGAGGGGTAGCAGGGACATAAAGGACAATTGGATCCCTTTCTTTTCCCCGGGAAAATGACCTAACCATATATTACACGTATTTACAAATACCTAAAGGAGAATCAAAAACAGCACTAGTGAAGTCACGATGCAAGTCTTAATTTCCGATGGAAATCTGCTTTCGACTTTTGAGGTTAAAATACCAAATAATTCTTCATATTTGCTGGCAGCTGCTGGGGGCATCCTCAGAAAAGTCCAGGTAATGCACATATTTGGAAGGAGAATACCAATTAAATTACCTCACAAGACTGTTGTGAGGATAAATGTTGAGCTTGGGAAGAGCAAAACATTTCTTGGAGAAAAAGGTGGGCTTGTTAGGGCAATTCTTCCATTAAACTGCTCTCTCTAGCAACTATTATTTAGAGGTGGACTGCATCTGAACATGGAGTTTCCATCAAACTGTACCCTGGAATGCAAGCAATTGTCAAATTAAATCAGGCTAGAGGTCCATGTAGCCTCCAAAAGAAGATGAAAATAGCAAATCTTTTTTGTTTCTCCTAAGCAATTTATGTTAAAAATAGACAATGAGAATACAGAAGCATTTCCTAGAAGTGGGTATTTGGCTAATTACATTTGTAACCCCCCCCCCCCCATTTTTAGTTATTTGAACTAGTGGTCATTGTTTCTCTGCATCTCTATGTGAATTAATGTGACTATTCTGGAAGCAGAAAAGTGTACGTGTAGGAATAAAAAAAAGTGTATACTAAGAATCTAAAACAAGTACTATTCTGCAGTGTTTTCCACATCAGTAACAGTGGTAACCTATCTACTGTGTTCAAGAGACATAATTTCAGAACTAGGCAGAGGATTGCAGCTTTCCATCTATCTGCCTCTTTTGTTTACTGCTTTCTGGTTAGTAAATTTGAGATTTCATGGCACATTGCAAAGGGAAATGGGGATGCTTGGAACGTGCAGGCAGATGCTCCCTGCAGCTGTTGGTACAGAACATTTGAAAGGAAACGTCATTGAGAAGCTGTTCAAACTGTGTCAGCGTTTCTTGCTGATAAGGAGTGAAGCATATCTGTTCAGTCCCTCTGTAGCATCTGCTCAAGGACAATTCCAAAGAGTCCTTCTGTGTTCAAGATCACAACTATTTCTGCACATGTATGTGAATTTAAATAAACCAACCTTTATTGTTGCATGGTTAAAGCTAAACAAAGGATACAGTAGGTGGCACTGAGAATGTTTCCTTTTCAAGTTCATAGCAAAATTTATCAGTGCTCTCAAAATTCAAATCTAGTGGTTTACATTTTAAAGGTTTTCCACTTTTGCTTTTGAAACATATAACAGGCAATAAATATTAACATAACCTCTCTTTCCCATTCTCTCTACACTTTTTTATTCATGGCAATACTGTAGTTTAGTTCTATGGCTATGTGAAGTTGTTTTACATCAGAGTTTAATATTACTGAAATTACATGTTTAACCTGCATTTCCTCCAAATCTCAAAGTAGTATACGAACTCCCATTCTTTTATCTTCAAAATATTTCTATGAGATAGAATAGTTTCAACAAAATTAAACTGTTTCACGTTTAAATTCTGGTATTCACTGAATTTAGGAAACTATGGCTACCCTCAACCCCAGATCCTTAGACTCCATTAATCCCCCTTGATAATAAAATTACTCTTAAGAGTTGGTTAATTTAGCTAAAGATATATATCATGTCTTTTACTAAGGAACCTTGGCTCAAGGTAGTCTCCAAAATTGGTGCTCTCCACATGAAGCAGCTCCCATTACTTTCAGTCAATATTGCCTCTTAGCAGATTTCAAAGTGGCATAAAGGTTTTGTTCTCCACACTGTACAGCTTTACATACCTAAGAAGCAATTGGTAGAATTGGCACTGTTTTAGCCTACCTTTACAGGTGTAAAGAAGAAATTAGGGTAATTCAGTAAATTATGGTTCAGTTAATCATGGTTACTGCATTATCCCCAAACTTATACAATGGGACTTATTGTAAGATTGGATTCAGACAATATATTTCATCAAAATTAAAAGATCATATTATGGCTTAATATGTTGTGTTACTCCACCATACCCCTTGCACTGTCCATATTATACAAAACACTGCCAATCCACATGTTTATTGCTTTTGTAATGTCAAAATTATACTTTAGAAGTATATCCATATGTAGAGCTTTTTTTCCTTTCATTCAATCATGTCTGATTCTCAGAGACTGCCTAAACAAGTCCCTGCAGCTTTCTTGGCAAGATTTTTCAGAAGTGGTTTGCCATCGCCTCCTTCCTAGGACTGAAAGTGACTAGCCCAAGATTACCTAGTTGGCTTTGTGCCTAAAGTGGAATTACAACTCACAGTTTCTAGGCTGATGCCTTAACCACCACACCAAATTGTCTTTCTGTGGAACAGTGAAGTCAAAATCTGGAACAATCATCATTTGAGTGTAGGGAGTCCAAAATCTGAAGAGTTCAAACATTAATCTTAAACTTTGGTTTCTGTAAATCCAAAATGATAACTAGCTTCTTCCCATTGTTAGGAATTCAGCACTAAACATAATTTGACTGCTGCAGCCAGTCATTATTAAAAATATATTCTGAGCTGCAAGACTTTGGCAGTGAATTCTTAATGAATAGACCTGGGGGTTTGGTGGGGACTTTTTCAGTCCAAATCTTTTTCTTGATATACAAAATAGATCAATGGATTTTGGTATTTTCCCAGCATAGCTGAATGGCTAGAGCTAGTTTAACTAGGTATTTTTGTTGTGTACATCTAAGCGATAAGCTTTTTTTCAACAATTCATGGCTTGTTTCATGAACCAAGCCATTAGAACAATCTTTTCCAACATTGATGCTCCCCAGATGAGTGGTATCAATGACTTGAGAAATGGACTGAAACATTAAATTTAACAGACAACAGCATAGCCTAGTCCAGTGGTGGCGAACCTATGGTACGGGTGCCAGAGGCGGCACTCAGAGCACTCTCTGTGGGCACGTGTGCCGTCGCCCCAGTCCTAGGTCTTCATCTGGGCTTTATAAAACCTTTTTGCTTTAGGCCTCCGCCGCCTTGTGCAAAAAAAAAAAAGGTTCAATCAATCAGTCAATTGCAACTTCTCGCGGGGAAAAAAAACATCTTGCAAAGTTGGGATTGATTGAACTTTTTAGTCCCACCCAATCTGCTGTTACCACCGCAACCACGCCCACCCAATGGGCCACACCCACCCAATTGACCACACCAGGCCAATGGGCCACACCCACCCGGCACCCGACGATGCATAAATGGGTTTTGGGTTGCAGTTTGGGCACTCGGTCTCTAAAAGGTTCACCATCACTGGCCTAGTCCTTTATTTTCACTTAGGAAACAAAACAAAAAATCAAATCCATAGGTTGGATTTGGAAATCTGGAATAGTAATAGTTACTCATGCTTCAGTCATCTCTTAGTTAGATTACTACAATGCTTTCAAAATGAGGTTGCCCTTGAAGACTGCTCAGAAGCTACAGCTGGCCCAGAATACAGCAACATAGCCAATGATTAGCAGATGTATCACTGTTGCTTTGTGAGCTGCACTTATTGCTAGTTATTTCCAAGTGCAATTTTATGTGCTGGTTGTCACCTGTAAAGACTTTCATGGAATAAGCTAGGTCAGTGATGGCGAACCTTTTAGAGACCGAGTGCCCAAACTGCAACCCAAAACCCACTTA